TTTTTTCAACTTCATAGGTTCCTGTGCAACGCGTGGCTGGTTTTGTGAAGCGCCTCTGCACTGTAAGCTTACAGTCTGAAGCCAACAGTTCAATGGCTTTTCTCGCCTACGTTAAGTCATTTCTTCAGGTGAATCCAACGCTGTGTAATACTAAAATGTCTCAGGTCCTATTCTGAGACGTGTGCGTATACTCTGTGGTCGTTTTTGATGTATTTTGATGTGCATTTCGTCATTGCAGTCGTCACAGAATTCTTCTATATCATTCTTCTATGAACTCGAAGAATAACATTTCTACACGGAACTGAGGTGCCTCTTCTTTATGCTATGATAGTTACGATCATGATCATCAAAGTTCAGACTGTAGCAGGGGGCATTCCTATGAGGACCAAGCTTATGTTAAACACTAATCTATGAAAGCAGCTAGGTTTCAAGCGTGGAAAAAAATCCCTCGCAATGGCTAGGTTTTTATGCAGCCCTCTGACACTTTCCATTGGGTATTTTCAATGGTTTTAACTTTTTCTTCCTCCTATTTGTTTCCAGTCTCACACTAAGGTACAAGCGCTACTTGACAGTGAAAGCATGGGCACTGGTGTGTTTAGACCAGACGTAAATGATCCCGAGCTCAGCAATGCTGATAGCGCGACGGTTTGGGAATTGGCTATGTTGGGGACTGGGCACTTTCACCCAGCTGTTCGCTTAGTGGCTCATCATGTTGCTGAAGGAGCGCCAAGTAAAGGCTCCGGTTCCTCTATGATGAGGATGTGAGTAGTGCATTTTGTGTCTTTTGTTTTTTTAGTTTGTTTACAAACATTTAGTTATTCCGCAAAAGGCGGCCTCATGAAAATCGGACCGTCAGGTTTGGCTTATGGGTGAGTGACAATTGAAATAGTTGGTGCATTGAAAGCAGAACCCAATGGTACTGGAAGTAGTAATTTTCAGTAGCCATTTACTTGACCATTCAAGCATCGCTTTCGTTCAGGAAAGACAGCATAGTCCTGTTGTACAACAACACCTGTTGCAAAAAAGAACACTTTCATCTTTTCATACACATCCTTTTGCCATCTTACCGTGCTCGATTACTGTGAAAAGCATGGAGCCTTATAAAGTTACGGGTTGATGAAAGACTGGTTAATGTTGCGTAAGGGGTATATCAGTTTTCGTTTGCACCTGTTACCCCTCCGCTAACCCCACCCGACACAACCTTCTAAAGCGTAACATGATAGATTGATAAACTACTTAGTAGCCCTAGTAGGCGTGGCAAAGCAGATAACCACAATTTACAGTTAGTCTCTTCCGATATATTATAATCTTAATCAATACTCGGGTTTTTTTTTTTAATTCTTGACGGAACGTCAACCCCGGTTTCGTAAGCCAGGAAATTATATACATTCTGGGTCTCAAAAACGATGAGCATGCGGACTCGATGTGGTGTCTTTTGTACCAACCAAAAGACTTCAGGGTTGAAGACCTTGCATTGGTTTCAACGCCATCTGGATGGGTAGAAAAAAGCGTTAGAGAGAATAGTTTTTATTTGGAACAGATTTTTGAAAACCTGGAATACTTGATAACGAAAAGATTCAACTAGGCTAAATTAGATCTGTATTATTTGTCGGCTAGTATCTGAAGTTCACGATCTCTTCATATTCCAGGATGGAGAGTTTTCGCAAAATGTTTCATTTGGACATCTAATAAAAAGTGAATTTTGTTTGTGGCGTGTTTGTCTACCCGTGTTGATGATATCTACAACCGTGGCAACGCTCAAACACTGTATGTGCTAAATAGCAACGTAGCCTTTAAAAATAATGAATTAATTCGGTGTCTTCCCCAGGTCACCCAACGATTTCTGGACAAAGTATGACCCATCTGAAATGAAACTTAATCCTGATTTAAAAGAGAATGAATTGAACCGGAAAGGAATGACCTTTAAAAGAATAAAACATATGGAAGATGGAGAATGGAAAAACTCTGATATGGTTTCAGCAGTTAAAGAAGCATTGGACTTTACTGAAGCCAGTCGCGGATTAGAATTCTCTTTTCCAGTGCTTAACGCTGAGAGGTAGCATCAAGAGTTGTCAGGACTTGATTTTTATTTGAATCACCGCCACAGCTCGAGTAATAGTCAGGAATCTATTTCAAGTCAGCGAAAATAGAATTTTGAGGAAAAGTGATAGGAAATTGACATTTAAACAGTGGATCATTGATATTTCTCCTCTTCGTCCATTTCAAATGTGCTATTGTGCTGTGTTGATAACGATCGAAATGCGCCGATCACAGTTGTCGGGAACCAACCACAGCAGAACATCGCGTTTCGAGTGTGACACGTGACCAGTCGAAACTCATCGCCAGATAAAGGTTAATCAGTGCACAGTCAAAACGTCACGATCTGTTAAAACAGGTGACTACTCCCTAAGACAGACTTTATTACTTTATTGTTCTAGCTCTTTTTCGTGTTGTTGCTGCAGTGATTAATTGTTTAAAATACTCACTATCTTATGGAGAATCGTCTCCTCCGACAAAATTTATCTCAACATAGATTTTTAAGAAGCTAGGTTGACGGCTTTGAAAGCAGAGTTGACTTATTTTCTGAAAGATCTCTCTGTGAACTTTATCGACAATGCAGCGAAGTCTCTCAATTCTGAAGACAAATTAAATAATCTGACAACTCAACTGCTTTTTCTTCGAAACGATTATTTTCTCCACTTGCAGCTGGTTTTGTATACGAATCCGCCGACAGCATAAACTATCTCCAATGCTACACGGTTTATTCATGAGGAAATACTTAGCTTCCGTTTCCCAACTTCATCTTGAAAGAAAACTTCAAACGAGTTTTGACAAAGACGAACTAATCAAAATCTTCATATTAAGCTGTATTTCTGAAATAACTCCATCAATAACCCAACTAAAATTGAATCCAATTACAAAAACATACTCAGTGAAGTAAAATTTACAGTTCCTTTGCTTTAACTGCCAAGTTCGATTACCTTGTCATAGTTGATTATTCCAAGTAGCTTTTCTATGGCCCCTGCGGTGGGGTACCGTTGGATCAGGTCTGGAACGACAGAAGTAGTGCGTGTGCCCCTTTTTACTGCAGTTGTAACCAATTTGCGTCACCAAAACGAGAGCGGTAAGTTGGAGGTTTAATACTGGAATTTTCCATCAGTTCTCTAAGGTCTTGATAATTTGCTTCATGTCGGACCCTCTCAAGTATGGGCTTCTGTGCTCGAAAGCACCTATTGATTTCTCTCTGGGGGTTGACAGCTTTTGAAAGCTCCTCTAAAAAAATTTTAGCCGAAACGTCCTTAGGATCCAAATCTGTGCGTTTCCCTAAGTGGCGAGCACCGATTCTTTCAACTTGGCGAAATTTTCAGCAGCTTCTGAATTTCTGTAGCCGTAAAATAACATACTCGTGTATCCCAAGGAGAAGTCCCTGCACAAATTAGGGAGTCCACTCATTCCTCACTAGATTTAACCCAGTCCAGTTTTGGCGGCGACTATACGAAAAATCAGTAACAGTTTCGTTTTCTAACTGACGGCGTTGGCCAAGCACATATCTTAAACGGCATTTGCTAACTCCCGAGGCAAAATGCTTGATCGTCTCTCCGGACTTTTGCGCGAAGGACAATCGCTTCCTTCACTTGAGGTTAGAATTTAATCGACTGGTTGCGATCAAACCTTTGATTTAGGGGATGCAAGTGAGTTCAGTAAAGAGCAAAACGATGGTCCCTTGGGGCTGTGGAGATGGAGGATTAGACTTCGTATGATACAGAAAACCCGGCCGAATCTCCTTACAGAGCAGTCTGTTCGGCCTGGGCGTGTATTTTTTGTCTGGTAAGTGGCAGGATTACGACCGAAGTGCAATTTTGTCACGAAGACGAGATTCCCCAACACTCAAACATAGAAATCCAGCCTTGAAACTGACTAGTCTTTATAAATGCCAAAGCCGGCAAATGGCAAAACTCCTAAGTAAACTACGATCCAATGAAAAAGCGTGCACCTTCCTACTTAACAACATATGTTTTTTTTTGTTAAAACAGTTAAAAAGCTTGCAACGGAAAGGAATGCAAATGAATATGGAGAGTTCCTCTTACGAAATTAATCGTTTCCAATGAAGTGCTACATCAATCTTGTTGCGACTAACTTAGAGGTTTGGCTCTTTGAAAAATCGCTCTATTAAGAAGGACCAAGACTCTTCTGGTTTTTCTTCTTTATTTAGCTAACTGATCAACTCTCTTTAAGTTCTAAGATAAATCATAGTTATTTAGACAGGGTAGCCGCATCAACCATAGGCTGGTATCAATAAGGGCCCCTAAATCAAGTCTAATACACGTCCTTAACTACTTCATTAGTATGGTATATGTTTGGGCTGCAAAACCTGTCGATCTCTGATTAAAGTTCTTTGTAAAATTGCCAATCTAAATATTTGTAGAAGTTAATAACAAATATATCTTATTAACCAAGCGCGAGGGCCGTACTGGGAGAATATCGGCCCGAGGTCTCGACAGTACGGACCGAGCGTAGCGAGGTCCATACAAAAAAGACCGAGGGCCGATATTCTTCCAGTACGGTCCCGAGCAAGCTTGGTTAATAAGAGATTTATTATACGACTGAAGTTCAAAGGGACACAAGTGCGGTATCATTCGGGACCATTCGGGACAGTGCCCGGTCCAATACT